AGTAGAATGCGTGCAGCCTATGTATACTATATTCTAATATTTTTATTTATTTTATAAATTTATTTATTTTCTTTAATTGATATAGAAATATGTATTTGTAATAATTTTATACTAAATATTTTTATTTATTTTACAAACATATTTACGCGTTATTTAGTTTTATATTTTAGTTGTTTAATTTAAGTTTTATTTTATTTATAAATATTTATCTATATGTATTTTTCACCTTTAATTTGTATATTTTTGCTTATTATAAAAATATATGTCTACTCTTATATTACTTTGTATTTTTTTGCTTAATTTATTTACGGTTTTAGCGTTTGCCGTTCCAGAAATCGATATGCAAACAATTTCAGTTACTTAAATTTGGTCACCCTAAATATATCTCAGAAAATAATATGTGCTCAAACCTTAAGGCCGTATCCAAGTTCTTATTGGAAACTGTTTTGTATATTTGTCTTATTGGCATATATTTTGTAGCTTCTAAAATATAGGAAAATATTGTGATATATAAAAAATAATTTAATATATTAAGGTTACTTAAAAAATCAAGAAGTTCAGGTTTAAAAACAAAATTATTTAAACCCTAAAAATAACAAAAAATTGCGTAAATTTTTATAGCAATTTTTTATATTGACTATGTTGAGCTACAAAGCTGAGCATCAATCTTGAGCAACAATGTTGCAGCAACAATGCTTTAGCAGTTGATTGGATTTCCAATTTGTATTGCCTACTTTTAGCTGCTCGAAATTGAGCAGCAGCTGCAACGTGTGAATATGAGAAATATTATAAAAATCATAGATACGACAGATAGTAAAGATGGTACAAATTAGGATATATATGCATAAGCTATACCGCATGTATGTTATAAACACGAGAGCTTTAAGTCGAGCTGTAACAGCTGTTTGTAAGTTCTCGTACCTGCAAACTATGCGCACAGGTTGTAAATTATCAAGGCATTGCTGAGCTTATCCTTGAAGGCCTGAAAGCTCTGAGTAAAAGCTAGTCTACAAGCCTTAAATTTAATTTCCCCAACTGTGGATTTCGTTTGGTAGCCAGTATGACAGCTTGACATAAAATGAGTTTCGTTAAACCTACTTTAGTTAAAAACCAAAAAGGACGATTGCATTCATTTAGCCGAGACACATTCGCTCTTAACTACCCGCCTCTCTTTTAACGATAGGAATATGAAAATTCCCATTTAACGATAGATTTCTCTTTTGACGAAAGCCACATTTACCCGTTTAGCACATAGTGAAGACACAAACCAATTAGCTGAACTAACTGCCGAAATGCCAAGCTTTGCTTAAGGGACAGTTTCGCGAGCTTTTAAGGCTTAGCGGTTTTATGAAATGAAAGCTCGCTCTTAAATTGGGAGAAAGGGAAAAAACGATAAGTCCATATTGATCTAAATGCACTTTAACAGTCGTAGAGTCTCTGACATCGTTAAGAATTATGGGAAGAATCTATCTGAGACGCAGAATCGCTCTTGGAATATTGATACAGTTTATTCAAAAATGAAAAAAGAAAAAATAAACAATTTTTGCTTCGTTTGCACAATGAAATTTTTGTTTATTATTTTGCCGCATTCGACTATTTTCTATTATTATTTTTACACATTTACTTTTTTGTTTTCGCACACATAAAATTTGGTTTACTTAAAACTAAATTATTTTTATGGTTTCATTATAAACTTTTGTTAGCCATTCACTTTAATTTTAATTTTCATTTCCATTTTCATTTTTATCGGGCCATTTTACTTTAGTTTACACACAATGCAGTCGTTAGTTTTTAATGCGCTTTAATGCTATTCAAAAAAAACATTATTACATTACGTATACATACATACATAGATGTATGTATTGTACATACATGCACATGCATGTGTGCATATATTTGTTTATCAATTTATTTAGACAGTTTTTATTGTAACATCTAATAAAAATTGTAATAGTATTTGTTTCTTTTGTTTATTTTTCCATATACTTGAAGTATGCTTTGCGTTGTTTTACAAAAAAAATTACTTTACAAAAAAACTATAGCATATATAGATGTATATATACTTTATATATATATATATATATATATATATATATATATATATATATATATATATTTTTTTTTTTTTTAATATATCCAAGTGGCTTAACTAGTTAGACAATTACGAGTAAAATACTTGTAATATCAATTTTATTGTAGTAAAATCGCTAAATCTTTATTTACTTTCATCTTTCGCTTTAGACTTATGTATATACACAATTTGGCTAAGAATCGTATCGACTTAGGCTAAAAGAAGAATCGATATCTTAATATATACGCCTGTATGCATGTAAGTATGTATGTCAACTCAATAGCCAAAGCTAGGCTTTCATTTCAGCTGAAGTTAAACTTTATTGAAATTACATTAGCCATGAGTAATCGGGCTTAAAGATGCTTAACAAACACACTCAGATTTAAGAATAAAATAGAGTTAAAAGCTTTAGAGACTAGGGCATCCGTTGAACAAAGCAATTAAGAGAGCTCTTGTCGGGTGTGCCCGACGCGCACATGCCCTGCAGCAGCACATGCCGCGCTGCTGTTCCAAGAGTCATTTTAGCTTATATCTGTACATGCATAAACAAAATCACACGCACACATATACACATGTAATTATTTGTAGACTAGATACAAAATGTTAAGAAATAAAAATGTAATATTAAATATAAAAAAACAAATAAAATTTATTAAAACTAAATTTCTTCCCCATTGGGACTCGAACTCGCGCCTCTTCCTGCCTAAACAGTGGACCCTTTAGTCGCCACCTCAACGTGCGCCGCCAAGCAGCAGCACACACGAATACAATAAAATAGTCATTGTAATTCTATTTATAGAATTCTATAAATAGCTCACCCATTTGCATGACTGTGTGTGTGTGTGTGTTAAGATGTATAGAGCAAACGCTTGACCAAGCATTTTCTCGAATAACTTTTGTGTTACTTAACGGATTTTGATGAGATTGTCAACACTGAAAAGTAGTGTTCCAGTGCACATATTGACATGTGTTTAAAAAGTCAAATTTCTCTGTAGTATGGCAATATATGCAATCAAAGTTTAACTGAAGAAAAAATTGAATGGAAAGTTCGGCGAAAAAGGCGAACATGAGCTTGATCTAGATTTTTATTGATGTGAGCATGAGCAGTTAAACCTTCATTCGGCATTTCAAGCCTCCGGATATACGGACATGCCTTAGTTGACTTGGCTGTTGACTTTATTGCATTAATTATTTATATATATATATATATATATAAATATTAATATATATACATGCATAAATTGCTTATATAGTACATATTATATATATATCTACGCATGTATAAAAGCAAACAAAAGTCTGGTCAACAAGGTAAGAGGAAAGAAGTTATCAATTTGAATTCATTATCGCCGGCTTTTGGCCCTCTTGTCTCAGCGCATTCAACCGAAAGTGAGTTGTATAAAAAAGAGAAAAGTGAACAATTCAATATAATGAACCGGCATGTTTTTGGGTTGAAATGTATTTTCCATGACGGAAGAATCATTTATGCACGGCCAACGGGTTTCGTGTTATTCTTGCCACCAACTTTGAAGAGAATTTTCATATTTTTAATGAGTTTTGCGGTTTCCGGAGAATAAAAATTTTAATTTGATACTGGGCTCTTGTAATGTGTCCAACTGTCACTGGCTTTGAGCTGGGTCATCTTTTATGTGCATCTACAAGTTGTCGCCTCCATGGCTTGGCTGCTGCTGCTGCTGCTGCTCCCTTCGCCGTTGCTTTCAGTGTTGGCATTGACTTTGGCCAAGCGTCTAACCGTTTGTAACCAGCCTTTAATCCTGCTAATGACTCCCGCTTCAAATTGCAAGGCTGCATGACAAGCGCATCATGTGAAGAGTAATGAGTGGTTTTTGCCATTGCCATTGCCATTGTCAGAGCCCCACTCTCTGACCGCTTGACAATCGGCTGTCCCGTGTCTCCTATTTTACTCTTCTGCTCATCATCATTGCCCGTGTCGCACTTGCTCATTCAATTCAATCAATCAAATTGCTTGGCATTTTTAGCTTAGTACTACTCCCCATGCCGCCCACGCCTCCCACTCTGCCTGCATGCGTCAGTCCGTTCCAAATATTCAAAACTTTCGCTTGCTTAAAGCAGAATACAAAATGTGATTGAAACGAAAATAAATAAAAAAGAAACTGAATCAATCTGCATATAAAGCAATCAATGCTTAAAGAACGTAATTCGATTGATTAATCATTTATTCTAAATACTAGGAAAGTGCTAGATGGCTCAGTCTGTGATTGATCAATCATTCATTCAGCACGTAAAGATGGTAATCAAGTGGATCATTCATTGATTGATCAATATAGATGCTATACAAAGAGAGTCAACAAGTAGATCAAGAAACTAGTCCATCTTTGTCAGTCAAATCATAAATTTTATATTTTTTGAAGAAAATCAACAAATTGTTTCAACACCAACTGTAAATATCAAGAAGTTGCTTAGATGAAACAAGCATGGATTGATCAATCACTGATTTATCATGTGAAATAAGCAATAATTGATTATATGTATACAAAAAAAAAGCAAGCAAGTCAACTATTGATTTTAAAGGCCAAGAAATTACTCAAATGTTTCATTCTCTGATTGATCAATCACCGACTCGACATATAAAGAAACTGCAGAAGCGCATCAATCATTGATTTGATATATAAGAGAAGTAAACGTACATAAATCATTGATTCTTCATGCAGATTCCTCATGATGATCAACCACTGATTGATCAATCATTCATTCATACAGGGAAAACATATAGAATATCAAAATTTAAGTTTTAAGTTCTCTTTTGTTACACCCAAAACTTTTTGCTTAATCTTAAAGTTCTTAAATATATTATTATGTCTGTTGACTATTTATACCTTGAACTGTAAGTTAGTAAACCTTGTAGATATAATCTAGGTATTTATATCTGTAGTTGCCAAATCTAATTAAAATAAAGACATTTTTATTTACATTTATTGTTTGAAATACTTAAGAACTCCATTGACTTCTTGGAAAATGAAATAAGAAATGATATTCGAAATTGTGAAAACGTGTTGAGATTACAAAAGCGAAACTGTTTGGCGAAATCGAATGTTGGAACACGTTCAACTGGAAGTTTTTATGTACTTTTCGGGTTCAATTGGAGCAGAACGAAAGAAGGAGAAAAAAGCATCGAACGCCAACGCAATATGGTGACCGTGCTAATTGTGAGTTGACAGTTTTCCACGCCAGATGGGAGTGAAAAGCGGAAAAACGTGCAAAGAGACGCAGCTAAGGAAGGGAGAGCAGGACGCGCTCCACTCGAACGCCGGTCGAGCGGTTGGACCAGTGTCAAAGATGATTGTGCGTCAAAAAATGAATTCAGAACGCAGTCAGATAATCAAATTGACGTTGAAATATTTGAGTATGTCCATTTAACAGTGTGCGTCTCACAGGGCACTTGTCCTGGTCAGGGGTGCGTGAAGGAGAGAGGGCGAGTAGTTGGAGGGAGGTGGGTTGGGTGGGTGGTAAAAACAATTTAATAAAATGATTAAAGCAGCTCGAAAGCGAGGGTCACAACGAGCGTGCGACGAATGTGCTTAAAATCACTTAAAAACTATTTTCACGCAAATTGCTTCAGTGCCATTTGCTAGGTGGAAGGTGAAGCGAGAGGGAGCGAAAGGGAGAGGGAGAGTAAATGGGGTAACTTGCTGCTGGTTGCACGTGCACGTGATGGATGGACTGTGTCTGACCCACTCGTTGGCAACATTCCCCGTCTCCCTGTCACGTTCGTCATGCATGTAAATGAAGAAGTTCCCGGATAGAGCGCATGAAAGCCGCAAGTAAAGCAACAGGATTCTGACTGCCCTGGGGCAGGTGGCAGGGGGCAGCGACTGCTGCCGAGCCAATGTCGCGCATATTGGACCAAGCTGCAAAACGCAACTGACAATGTCCAAATGCTGCTCAACGTTGTGTTGTCCAGCGCTCGAGTCGTGAACGCTGTTGTCGTTGTCGTTGTCCTTTGGCAAATGTTGTTGTCAAGCGTCTGCTTAGTGTCTGCACGTATAGTCGAACATGGGTCTGAACAGCAGCGGCTATTTGGCTAAATATGCATATAGACATGTACAAGAATTTTGGCCAAGCGCTCGCTCTGCGCTCGAGTGCATTCTGTGTTTCTGCTCTCGACTGCGCTGCGAAACAGCAAAGAGGCTGCGCTTAGATAAAGATAAATTTAAAAAAGAGAGAAGAGAAACCCCCGAAAAAAAACCAGGCAAGGCAAATTAACATTACCTGGCTTTAAAGCCGAAAATACATCTGAATGCGACATTGTGTTTCGGCCGGAAAAGTGGCGTTTGCGTTTGCTATTCGTTTGCCTGATTGCGCCACGCCGTCTCCATGTCCGCGTTCATGTTCGTGTCCGTGTCCGTGTCCGAGTCCGAGTCCGAGTCCGTATCCGTGTCTGTGTCCGTGTGCATGTCCGTGTCGTGTCAACGGCGTCGCTGTTGCTGCGGTTAATATGCCAGCCGTTGTTCCATGCTTCTGTTCCTTGTTGTTATTGTTGTTGCTGTGGCTGCTGCACATTGCAGTTGCAGTTGCTGTTGTTGCAGTTGTTGCTGTTGTTGCTGTTGTTGCTGATTGGCGTGCAATCCTTAAATGTCAATGGGACGTCATGATAATCACGTCTGGCGCTGAATTCCGTATGTCAATGAACACTTTCGACTCCTCATTCTTCTGCTGCTTGCCGACGCCGCTGCCGACGCCGCCGCCAACGCCGCTGCCGCCGCTTACTTTGCTGGGCAGCATCGTTTGACCCTGCAGCTGGGCGTGGCCCTTCGGCAGTCGCGCAGCAACGCTCGGAGCTTGTTGCTGTTGCTGTTGCTGTTGCTGCATCTGCATCTGCATCTGGTGCTGCAGTTGCTGCTGATGTTGGTGCGCTGGATGTGGATGATGTGTGCGCTGCTGCTGCTGCTGCTGGTGCTGATGATGATGATGGCAGATCTCTTGCGGCTTGACGGTGGAGGCCACTATTACGCCATAATGCGACCGTTGGCCGCTGCCGACGCCGCTGTGCCGCTCCTCCAGCTCGATGGACTCGTGTTGTGATGGCGCACGTGGCAGGTGCATCTGACTGCGACGCGTCAGTGTGCCCAGATGTGCTGCTGCTGACGGCGGCGGCGGCGTGGTCGCCGGCAGCGATGGCGACACGGCCATCAGGCCCGGCGCCGCAGCCTGCTCATAGCCGAATGTGGAAAAGAAACGCGCCGGCGGCGGTGGCATAACAGCGCCAGCTACGCTGCCACCGCCCAGCGATGATGAACCGGACTTTTGTCTCATTAGCGTGGCAACGGCGCTGGGGCTGTTCGCAAACAGCGACTCCCTGTGGGGCGAAGGTAAGCAAAGAGAAGTGAAATATTTCAATATTTGTCTTTCATGCTCCTTAAATAAACCCACGCCCACGCGCTTAATCAGAGAGTCTGCTCCGAGCTCCGGTTCCATCATCAGCCATATGGTCCCCTCTTTGGGGCGCTGCACAAACTGCGAATGTTATTTTTACTGTCAATGTGCCTTTTTCATTCTCAGTGCCTGACACTGTCACTGTTATACTATGCTTCGATGTCACTGTTGTGCGGTCACTGTTGTACAGTCACTGTTATTCAGTCACTGTTATACAGTCACTATTATGCAGTCAAAGTTATAAGTCAGTGCTATATTGACAGTCATTGCTATACAGTCACTGTAATACAATCACTGTAATGCAGTCACTGTTATACAGTCAAAGTGATACAATCACTGTTATACTGTAACTGTTATACAGTCACTTTTACACAGTCCTTGTTATACAGTAACTGTTACACGGTCACTGTTATACAGTCACTGTTATACAGTCACTGATATACAGTCACTGTTATACAGTCACTGTTATACACATACTGTTATACAGACCCTCTTAAATTGCAACTATTATAGTCTACATTAAAAACTGTCACTGTTATACTGTCACAGTTATAGTCTCACTTTCATCTTGCCTGTTGTATAGTCTCATGGGAAGCAGTTGTTATACTGTTACTGTGGTCTACTCATAATACTACGAATGTAGTATTATACTAGTGTCACTGTGATACTGTCACTATCTTCGCATAGAGCAAGGCACATCTCCGCCGTGCGTTCTTGCGTCATGTTTGTGATTGTTAGGCCCCCGCTGCACCCTCTCCGTGCGTCTCTCACATGGGTGCTCTGACTCAGCTGTGTACAAATGGTTCTAGACCAATGAAGATGCATGCAAATATAAATATTTGCATCGATTTGTGTTGTACAAGCATCAGGCGCTGTGTTTCCGGGTCTTGTGCACGTTGTCCTTCCCCTCTTTTCCCAGTCTGACAAAGCTATTTCGATACTACGCACTATGAGCTCGGTCGCATCTTTCCATCATAAGCCGCATCATGAAAACATTTTCATTGTTTTTGCTGTTTGCTCATCGTTGACTTTGCAATTTGTATGATAGCTTGGGCGCGTCTAGTGTGCTGCACATATGCTGATGATGATGACCGGCACGCCCATATACATGCATGCATACATACTTGTATGTATGTCTACATATATTTGTGTTGGCAAATCCCCCATAAAATTTACCTCGTTTGACAGCCCATATCACAGGCATTAACCGGTGCGGTCGCTATCGCCGCCTTTGTCATCAACTCGTGCGTTGCCGTCGTTGCTGACGACGATTCGCCATCGTCGCCATCGATGCCGCCGCACAGGCTTGTTTGGGTCATGTCTGGATTCCGGCGTAGTATGCTGTGCTCCTTCTCTTTAAAGTCAGCCTTGCTCGACTGCGTCGATATGGGCACAGCCTCGCGATAGTAACGATTCGAAACGTCATCGAGTATTTGCAGTGACGTCTGCGAATGCTTCTGTCTGCAACGAGTCAAGCGAAAAGTTCAAATCAATCAAAGGCGAAATCAAAACTCAAAGCCAAATCAGCTAATGACAGAATCAGTTAAGATGCGGTTCGGCTCAAATGCACTTGGGAATGTATCCAGGCAAATTTACATATATTGATTGCATTTTTACAGAGAAACTAAATATGAATATGATTCCGTAAAAAATGTTATTTAAGCTAGATATAATACATATTCATATCTAGTCTTCAAATTTATTCAATTTTCTAGAAGAAAAACTTTAAATTAAACCTGCAAAGCATTTGAGGCACTCAGTCGCTGCCTTAAACAGTGGCCTCTGCTTGGCAGAAAGCTGGCTATAATCCTCGAATATTAAATTTACTCACCTTGATATGTTCTCGCGTGAACGCGCCTTGGAATTGCGGCCCATCTCGTCCAGCTTGCTCTCCTTGGACTCGCGTATGTGCTCCTGCAATGATTAAGAAATGGCAGAGAAATGGCCACAGAAACCAAAAATGTGCATGAGAGAGAGAGCGAGCAACGAGAGTGATAGCGATATATATTTATATATATATATATATATATATATATATATATATATATGTATATGTATACTTGTATGTATATTCAGCCAATATTCAAGTATAATAAACGTAATAATAAATATTTTCAATTAATTTTGCGGGCACTGAATGTTTGGACAGGACAACGAGCGAGTGGGCGGACGGCGGCCACAAAACAAAGCCTGTTAGAGTGGAGGAGCTGCCATTGGTGGCAACTGTCCTCTTTCAAGTGTATGCAACAGCAGCAGCAGCAGTGCGATGCGTTGCATGTAGCGTGCACTGGGGCGTATGCGTAATATTAATTTTCAGTGGTTTCATGCTGGCAACTTCAACTGTCAGCCGGACAGCGAGGCAGCAATTAAGCCGTCGCCACCTGATACCCGATGCCAGACAGACGATGCCGCCCACTGAGAAGCTGGCTCAAGTTAACCCACAGTCGAAGTCATTAATACGCCGATTGTGCACAAGGAGTCACAAGGAGCGCCAACACTTGAGCGTGCATAAAAAGCAGCATAAATACGCAAATACGACATAATAATGAAAGCAGCAGAACGGAAGAGCAGCGAATGGGAGGGCATGGAGCAGATAGGAACAGATAGGATGCATAGCTGCATAGCACAAAGCAGAATTGAATGAATGAAGCAGCACAAGCAGCAGTACTAGTTGGGGTCAGACAGGTCGGCCAGCTGACCCCACTGTAGCTGGATACACGCTCAGTTAGAAAATCTTTGAGCTCCTTGCTTAAATTGCCGCATTGTGGCCGCTGGTTCAACCGCACCTCAAACTGCATTTATTATCAAATACGCAAATCAAGAATTTGATCCATTTTCAGTTTTTTCATTTTTCCGCTGTTTACTATACAATATTTTGATTTGCATATCCATTTCCATTTCCATTTCCATTTCCATTTAGTGTTCATCATTTTAAGCCGTTTGCCACTACATCTTCAATTATAGCAACAACCGACGGGCACAAAATATATAAGCGGCTATTTGCTATTGAGTGTAGCCGAGGATTAAATATGGAAAAGCACTGCTTCTTCTTGCTTTTGTTTTTTTTTTTTTCAATATTAGGTTAATGAACCCTTACGAGCTTACGAACCCTTTTAGTAGAACTAATACCTAAGTAATTGGTTTACGTTTTGTTTCCTATAACATTTGCATTCGCTCAATTTACTTTTTCTTATCGTCGTAATTGGGTATTTGTTAGAGGGTATTATCATTTGATGATATGACTTTTTTATTACTTCAGTGTTTACTTTAGTATTTATGCTTGGCATTGCTATAAATACTCTGACTTCACTAGCCCAAAGAGGGCTTACTAGTTGCGTATTGAGTGCAGAATTATTGCTAGCTAAAGACCCTGCAGTTGGCTATTGGTCTCAAAGCCTCTTGCTAGACTTGAAATACCCTACAAATCTCTAAGCTACAGAGACCTGCTTGATAGACTCAAAATTGCTCACAAGTAGCAATAGCAAATCTAAGCTTGATAGACTTAAGATACCCTACAAATCTCATTAGCAAATCTCAACTTGATAGACTTGTAATCCCCGCTTGCTAGGCTGCAGCAGGGTATTTAGCAAATCTCAACTTACTTTTACTTTTAGTCGGCGTATACTTAATGCGTATACTTAATTTGACAAGGAAAGAAAGAATTTTCTGTTCTATTTTGTATTGTTTATTTATTCATTTTCTTTTTTGATAAATGTTAACTATTCAGTTTGGAATTATCCGCTACAGCAATACGTAAATAGGAATAATTATGACACAATGGTATGTTTGATTGTTAATTGCGCCTTCATATGATGTCTTATATTCACTTGGTATATATAATACTATATATATAGTTATATATATATATATTTGAATTTCATAGGATTATATGAATGTCACTTAACTAAATGCAGATCGAAGTTCATTCATTAAACCAAAAAAGACTTTAAAAACTTACGTAAAGAAATGGAAATAGATTTTGGCAACTTTTTTTTTGATTGATTGACTGACAGATTGATCGTGAAAAAGATAAATAAAATTTTCAACGAGACCTAGAATTTCTTTAAAGGGCAAAAAATACATTTGAAGTGAAAATCGAATGGGCTTAAAAATAATTGTGCTTCGCTGCTTGTAAATGCCAGGGAAAGCCAATTGAGAGTTTTGGGGGGTGGGGGGTGGGTGGCGGCGAGTGCTCGGGGTGAAGGTGAGGGCAATGAGAATTCGATTGAGAATGAGAACGACTGGCAGCAACCTGTTTCACAAACACAAAGACAAAGGCTGTCAGCTCAGCGAATTGTTTTGTGTGATAGAAACCAATAAAGGGAAGGGAACGGAAATTCGAACCGAATAATGACATGTGTATGTGTGTGTGTGTGTGCGTCGAATTGAATTTTGTGATTTGTTGTGCAATAGCTAAGAATATCCAGAAGGCAGCGACCACGCCCACGTTGCTGGCTACCCTCGGCTTAGATGATTTTATGAAAGAACTTCAAGCCGCGTTTGGCCTTTGGCTTCGCTTTGGTTGCCTCCAAATGCTGCAGTTGCAGTTGCTGCATCTGCAGCGGCGCTGGCGGTGGCGGCGGTGTCAGCTGTGGCAGTATCGTGTCCATTTCAGTGGACGTTGATGAGCAGGCGGTGCCTGTGGGTGTGCTGCACTGCAGCGAACTGGTATACGAGTTGCTGGAGCTGGGCAGCTCTAGGCGGGCGCCAGTTAAGGCCATGCAATGGCCGGCGACTAGCACGAATTCATCGTCTTCGGGCACGGTAGCGCTGTCGCTGTCACAGCTAAAGCCAATGCCATCGTCGTATTCATCGTCTTCCTCCTCCTCGTCGTCGTCCTCCTCCTCCTGCTCCGCCTCGTGCATTTCCTCCATCTTCCCCTCTGGCGCCAGCTGTTCGGGTAGCTGCTCCGCTTGCTCTGGTTTATAGTGACAGCCATTGTCGTAGGCCAGCCTCTGCTGCGGCCCATTGTTGCCGGGGCAATCGTAATCGTAATCACAATCGTAATCGCACTCGTATTCGACCCTCACTGGTGCCACCTGTTGCTGGTGAGCCTCATAGTTGCATTCTTGACTGCTATTGCTGCCGTTGCTTCTGTTGCTGTTGCTGTTGCTGTTGCTGTTGCTGTTGCTTGGCTCCAGGTGATTGTAATCCTGATTAGCATATTGCTGCTGCAGTTGGTCCAGCTGTTTGCGCTGCTCGTTCTCGAAACTGTATGCGAAATCGCATAGAAAATCGTTTTGTAATCCCACGAAAATGGCGCTCTTTGGAGCACCCAGGACAAAGGAATCAATGTGATAGACGCTATCACGCAGCGCTGGAACATCCTGTGGATAGAACATATAGAAAAGAAGAACAGAAAGAGACAGAGAGAGAGAGAGAGAGAGAGAGAGAGAGAGAAAGAAAGAGAGAGAGAGAGAGACAGACAGTGTGTAGAGAAGATGTTGTGAGAGAGATAGACAGTGTGTCGTAGGAAGTAGAAGAGAGACAGAGAGAGAGAGAAAGTGAGAGACATACAACACTATCGAAATAGACACAAGAGCAAGAGTTGAGAGCGAAATACACCGAAAGTTGTGCCACTCTATGTGTACGTGTGTGTGAGACGATGCCAGTGAAAGATATAGAGATAGAGATACAGAGACAGAGTAGCAAGCGATAGGTTGCAGGAAATTGTGGCAAGGCTAAAAGTGCATCATGCATGACGACTCTACAGCTCTACAGCAACAGCAGCAAGCACATTAATGACAGCCATCATAAGGATGCTTGCCACAAAATACTAAAAGCCAAGCAGAGCAACGAGTTGAGAAAGAAACCCACGACAATTCGCACCGACCGCAAAGACCAGACAAAACTCCTATGCCAAATGCTATGAAATCCACCTAAAAAACTACCACAAAAATATAAAAACGAAAAATATAATATTTATATATATATATATGTAAGATACTTTGCCCTATACGTATGTATGTGAGATGCGACAAACAGAAAGCGAGCGACCATAACATAATAATGAACGAGCAAGAAAATTATAAAGATAACGACGCAGCGAAGCTGAAATGTGCATTTTGGGATCTCTCTGTGAAACTAGAATTGGTATAAGTGTGTAAAAGGAGCGAGACGGAGCTTGGGGTGACAGAAAGTAGAGCTAACAGGGAAAGCAACTGTTCTATGCTACACTAGACTAAGCCTGATTAGAGGTGATATCGATACTTATCGATAGTATAGTTATACACTGTTATGGCATCGAAAGTTGTTATCGATATTTATCTACATATTGTTATAGAAATTAATGGTAAACTACACTATGTCGGATTGAAGGTGCTATCGATACTTATCGATATTGTAGTTATACACTGTTATGGCATAGAAAGTTGTTATCGATATTTATCTACATATTGTTATAGAAATGAATAGTAAGCTAAAGTATGTCGGATTGAAGGTGCTATCGATACTTATCGATAGTATAGTTATACACTGTTATGGCATAGAAAGTTGTTATCGATATTCATTCTATATATTGTTATAAAAATGAATAGTAAACTAAGCTATGTCGGATTGAAGGTGCCATCGATACTTATCGATATTATAATTATACAATGTTATGGCATACAAAGTTATTATCGATATTTATCTACATATTGTTATAGAAATGAATAGTAAGCTAAACTATGTCGGATTAAAGGTGCTATCGATACTTATCGATATATTTGTTATAACAATGAATTCTACATTTTTCAGTCTCTTATTAAATTCTTATTGAATTGGAATACTTGAAAGACATTAAGCATTACTATTTCGTATTTATACATATATTTATGATCTCTCTACTTTCAAGTAGAATATACCTCTCAGTTCAGTTCACACACGTACAGGGTATATAACTCACAAAAAAAGCAAATAGAAATCCAATAATA